GGGGGGGGGGATGGGCGGGGGGAGCCAGCTGGTTTTCAGCAAAAAGGGTGTAAAATTGAAGTACAGGTTTCTCAGGGAAGAGGCATATTTGTGAACAAGGATGGAGAGGCAAAGCAGAGCTTCAATACTAGCTATACCACCTTTGGAGAGATGAAGTTCCTGGAAGGAGAAAACTACTGCCTGAACATTTCAGGAAGAAAAAAAAAAAAAAAAAAAAAAGAGAGAGAAAAGGCCACAGACTCGGATTTCAGACTGAGGCAGGGAAAAAAGCACCTCCTACACAGAATTTGAACTGACAAGCCAGAATAGAAAAGAAGTCAGCCGTATTTGGAAAGGGAACCAGCAAACCATGAAGAGGGGGAACCAAACTGAGTTGTTCCTTGGTTCCACGTAGAGAGAAGAGATGTGACAAAAAAGTTCTAGCTTTCTGCCCAGTGAGAGAGGGGAAACCCCCGACTGCTAAAAACAACCCATGTTCGATATTGGATGAGGTAGGCAAGTGTGTCAAAAAAAGACAGTGATTTACCATTGCTGCTTCAGAGATCTCTTCACTGCTTGTATTGCATGAAGAGCCAAAGTCCCACCCCCCTCAGGTTTAAACTAGCAATTAAACAGCTCTTTCCCCTCCTCCTCCCACCATGAATTTGCTTCTTACAACACTTTAGAAGCGTAAAAAGTGCATGTTGCTGAGATTGCAGTGCAAGTTGTCATGGTCTTCAGACCAAGAAAACTGTGTGCGTTTCATAGCCCCTAATAAAATTGTGAAATATTTACTTTCACACCAGATTTAATCAGTTGAGAGACAAGAGCTATCTCTTGTTTGAGCAAGGGAATGTCATGCACTAAGCTGTCATTAGAGCCATTTTTGATTATCCAAAAGAGATTAAAAACCAAGCTCTCTAGAAGTTATAGGTTTCTGGTTTTGTGTTAGTTTTGGGGTGCTTTTTGGCAAATCCTTTTGTAACTATACTAGCATATAGACTTATGATTATTTCTGGGGTTTAAAGCTTCTACATAAATACTAGGCTAGCCTCAGGACTCACAGAACTAGATGCTAACTCCTGAAAGTTTCAAGTAGATCATTTTGCTCCCTCCTGTTCCAGCCTTTTCTGCAGCAGACAGTAGAATAACCTAGGAAGGCAGACAGTTAACTGAATGAAGACTATTTTAGGTCAATCTAAAGAGGCTTACATTTGTCCAGCATGGACAGTGTACACTGGCCGCTAGATGCACACACAAATTAGAGTATGTAAAGCAAGCTACATCTCTTGAAAACCTCTGGGTATCAGTTAGTGGCTGCAGGCTCCCTTTAAGCCTTGGAAGATATTACTAGCACTCTTCAATTACTGTCCCAATCAATGAGTACATTTTTTTCTTAATAAGCCGGAATCCAGGACTCAGAATCAGTGTACGCCTGCAGCCAGATGCAAAGCAGGCCCGAGTAAAGAAGTCCCTGAAACTAGGCCATGAGCAGCAGTCCTGCTTGAACACAAGTGTCAGTTCAAAAGTAGGAACAATACTTGGGTCATAGACAATCTGATCCAGCTTTTTACACACGTTTCCAGTTTCTAAGTTGACATAGATAACGCACCCTCTCAAACCACAGGGCTCAGTAGCAGAAAGCCGCAGTACATCTTGAGCTATTCTCTTGGTTAGTTTCTCTGGGACCAGCACTTTTGAGCAGTGAAGTTTTGTTTGCTTTGAACTGGACAGACAGTTCTCCAGCATTTTAACTAAAGTTTGACAGGTTCTCTCCTCAAACACCATCTCATTAAGATTGGGTTCGGGCACAACATAATCCCAGTAGTCAAAGTCTGCAGGGGAATTAAAATTAGAGAGAGAGAGAGAAAGAAAAAAGACAGACATGAGGAAGAAAATAAAATACACTAGTGTCTCACAAGAGGCAGAAAATGCACCAACTAGTTATTTTCCTGACTTAATGTTCTGGCTTGGTGATTAACCACTATTTAAGGAGCCACACTACAGTAGCACTGCTAATGAGACTTAGAGTTATGTATATTTTATGTGTACTGCCAGCAGTCATCTGTGCTCAGCTGAATTAATTTCACAAGTAGTTTATTGAGTTATATTTCTCTTGATTAAACTGGTTATTACTGTGAGCTTAATGAAGTCATTCCCCATTGAAGAGGAGAATTTATAACCATTACTAGCCTTTATCTTTGCAAAATGATAGAAAGTTAGCCCCCAGAAAACAAAGTTAGTTTGCTTAAAGGAAAAATGATAGCTCTGCACTTGGTCATCTGCTTTCTAATCTGATCACTGCTCTTGGCAGCCTGCCACACTACAGACAGATTACTTAGTACATGCATAAAAAGTTGATCATTTAAGTAAGCTGCTGAAATCTGTGAAGTATATTGCGAGTGCATTTATAGAAGGTTTATACAGTGAAACAGTTAAATCAGTCTCCAGATCCATTTATAAAATACCTATTAGGGAGTTGGGCTAAGCAATATAAAATTTTTAACAAATAGTTAATGAAGTCTGACAGATTCATTCTGAAAATAATATTAATACCATCTTTATAAGATTATCAGGTATACCCAGGTCACTTTAGCAACTCTTCAGTATTAATCAGATGAAATTCAACAACATTTGCTTAGTAAGCACTATCTCTGTTTGGTTACCCCATTGATAGCCACCCCTTACTCCAGTATATAATAAAATGTTGTAAAGCTGCATGGGATAACAGACCCCTTTTTACTACTTTGCTTTTTATAGAGCAAAAGTGAGAATTACTGAGAAGGTCTAACATACTTACCAGTTATGTTTGAATAGTGAAAACCCTGGTGTATCAGTTCTGAAATGCATGTAGAGTTTTTACTGTTTAAACTGCTAGTTGCAACCATTGCAAGTGTTTAACCTCCAGACCTTTCTGGTTTACTTAAAAAAAAAAGAAAGAAAGAGAGGCATATATTGGACACTGAAACAAAGCAAGTTAAGTTAAGAAACACTGAAGCAGCATCAGCTCATAACTTTCAAGAAAAACACTGGATTTCCAGAAAGGGGAAAAGGGGACTTGGGGTTCAGTTATACACCCAAACATGCCACAAAAAGCAATCCACATCCCAGTACCTCATCACCCCCACCCCTTACTAATGGAGTCTTCCCTCAATTTTCTAGGTTAAAAACACAGCTAATTCAACTGCCAGCCTAATCAGTCTACAAGATTTCACCTTACCTGCTAAAACTTCACAGAAGTACAGTTACAGTGTTTGCATGTAAAACAGCTTTTTTAGTAATAGTGAAAAGTCACTTTAAAGAGAAAATAACAAGAAAAAAAAACACTGAACAAGTATAAACTTATAAAAAAAAATACAGCAATCTCCCACTCATCAGCCACCCCCAACCTGACACCTTCTTCCCATTGAGCAACCCCTTAGGGCTGCAGCAGCCACTTATATACAATTTCCACTCTCGTTCCCCCACCTGCCCCCGCTTCACCCTCTCCCCGCCCCATTCACATTCCCAGAGTAGTGTCCTACTCTTCCAAAGCTTCCCCCCATCTCATTGGCTGTTCCAAGGGGACTTTGGGATGGGTGGAGAGAGGAAGACCCAGTCAATCACTCAAGTGAAAGAGGAGAAGCCTGAGAAGAGGGGGGAGGAGGAGAGGGAGGGGAATGAGGTCCAGCTAATGATTGGCCAGCAGCAGTGTCAGAAAGATCCAGGGTGAACTGGAATGAAGATCACCTGACACATGTCACACAGTCCTACTTTAGCTCTGTGTGTAGAAGTCTTGCAAACAGAGCTAGTGGTAGCAGCAGCAGCAGCAGCAGCAGCAGCAGCAGCAGCAGCAGCAGCAGCAGCCACTGCCTCTTCCTTGGTTGTAGTGTATATGGCAGCTGGTTATTTTATATTTTTAATGCACTGCTTTCATGGATGCTTTTGCTCCCCTGTAGGTGCTTGTAAATGACTCTTTTATTAGCTACGTGCATAGTTTTCTGTGTGCCTGTATGTGTTCCCTTTATTTCTTCCTCACTGACTTAGGGCAGGATCTTAGAAAGGATGCAGGTGCCTAAATCTGGGCTTAGGTGGACTTTAGAACCAGGGACAGAGGTTACATATAAACCGGTTTAAGTGATCAGAAACTGCTTTAAACCTGTAACAGAAGAAAAGCTCAGTGCACATAAACCAGTTTCAAAAAGGCTGAAATTGGTTTAAGATAAACCTGGTTGAATGTAGTATATCAGACTTCACAGCTCTGGGTCAAACTGGTTTATGGAACTTCTGTCCCAAACCCCCCTCCTGGTTCAAGTTAAATCATAGTCCCCCAGCATGTTTTGCAGCTTAGGGCTGGGCTGTGCTGCCCACTCAAGAGAGTAGGGTTGGCCCTGCCCCTCTGCTCCCTAGCTGGAGCAATGAGTGCTGGCTGACAAAGTGGGGTGGGACAAGCCTGGCTAGGGAGGCAGCCCAGTCTGGGGTGAGAGCGGGGACAAGGACTGCCCCCCAAGCAAACCCTGGCTGAGGTCTAGGGGCCAGGGAGGAGGGTTAAACACCTTCCCCTGTTCAAACTTACTGCTGGCTGTGACTGTGGACTACAAATCCCAGAGGAACCAGGAAGCAAGAAGAAGTGATGAGCAACTCCACAGAGCCCTGCTGCTGTGATTTTGGACTGCAAATCCCAGAGACCTTGGGGGCAGCAGGAAGAGGAAGTGAACATACAGCCCATGCTGGCCACATGCCAGAGAGCTGTTTTCTAGTGCTTCCGCAGCTTCTGGCCTGAGCCATTGCAGGCATGTGTGCACATTTGCTGAATCAAAGGTAAATGTCTGTTCACTTCTGTTTCAATTTAGTCTCTGCATTTTAGACTAACCTGCAAAGACTGAATCAACTCAGCCGCAGGCTTTTTGACTGTCTGCACTTAGCCTAGGAGTCTAAATCCAATATTATGTCCCTCTTCAGCAGCCTGTAAACCTTCTGAGCAGCTTTCTGGCCTATAAGTTCTACAAGCACCTGCTGCCCTGCCAGTTGGAGCAGCCAGATGCCTATCTCCCATCTACAGCCAACTGGGCTCCAGAAACAAAGTGCATGTGCCTTAAACCTGCTCCGTGTACACTTACAACATCAATTTCAGCACAAAATGCAGTGACCATAGCCACGCTCAGTCACAACTACAGCTGGTGGAAGAGGAACCTGCCTTCTGTGATTGCCTAGTGGTGGTCAGGGCACTTGATTAGGCAGGATGGCACTGCAGTTCTTGCCCTTTGTTGATATGAGAGGGGCCAAAACCACATTCCTTACCTCCTAAAGAGTGTTGTAACTAGAATCCACTTCCTGTGGACACTGCGCTGCTAAGAACACAAGCTTCAAGGGGCCAAGAGGAGTTTTACTGCAGTCCAATGGTTAGCAGGCTGAGCTGGGAGGGAGTCTAGTCCCCGATCCCTGGACTGTTTGTGTTTTTTACATGAAACAATCACTGGACAAAGATCCAAATTTATCCCAAAAGCCCAGGACTCCCTGTTCCTGGAGAGTGGGAGATGTGGGTCTAAAAGACCTTAGGCTTTGGAAGGCCAGAACTTGGTCATCCCTGAGCGAATGGCTTAACCACTAGGCAACTATCTGAAAAGTGAACATTGGTAACATTTTAAAACCAGACTCGCTCCTAGTTCTTTCAAAGAAGATATATAGGACTTACCTTTGGGCTCCAGATCACAAATGGAGGGCGTCATCTCCCTTGGAGCCCTGCCTCAAACCATTATTAAGCTCCCCAGAGCAGGAGTTAGCATTTTCCCATTGGCTACCTTGTGGTGGTACAGTGCTCAGCATGTGGGTTTTCTCTGTCACCTTTTTAAGATGCCTAAGTCTCCCCATGTAGGGAGTCTCAGGAAACACTTAACTCTCATTTTTGGATTCTAGTCTGAGTAACAGACACAAACATTTAGGCACTGAAACACCTGATTTGTAGGTACTTGTTTTGGTCTGTCCTTTGATTTTCTGTCATTGTAGAGTAAGACTTTATATTAGCTGCAAGGATTTTTGTGAGTGTTGTCTTTTATTGGACCAACTGCATGGTTGGGATACATCTTGAGAGAAACTTTCAAGCTGCTGTTTACTGGGCTAATACTGTAGCATGTTGTAACAGTGCAGTCGCCATTGTCTGTGAATGAAGGTGGTGGCTGCCAGATACCAGATACATGATACTGCAAAAAAGGTATTATATAGGATCTGCTTCCGGTCTCACTTATGCTGGAGTAAAAACAAGTAGTTACCTTGTTTTCAATGCAGCTTTTCTTTTACATCTATATAAGGACCAAGCACTTTTTATTAGAATTAATAATAGTTTGCCTTTCTCTAGTGCTTTCCAAGTGAGAAAGTCAAAGTGTTTTAAAATCACTAATAAGTTTGATCCTAAATTTTCAGTGACTTTCACAGTGGTGAATAGGGAAATAATCCTCACTTCATGACTAGTGTAGACATTATAAAGACAGTCTACTCAATTACTAATCTGTAATGATACTGACAGATACTGGATGAATTGACTAATCAAGGCTTACATAGTTGGTCAGACCAAGATTTGTTCAGAAGATCGCAGCTGTGTGCAGCTCCAGTCTATTTTACTTCTTTTGGAAGAGCTATACCGCTAATATGTTTACTACAGGGTTGTAAATAGCTTTTGGTTCTTGGTAATAGCCTTACATTGCTCAATATACTCCCAAGCAACAGGGAACAAATTACAAGCTGAGCTGAGAAAATGTTGGTTGGTCAGGAGTGGTTCTGCCCTCTATAAATTGGTTATAATAAACCCAGAGATATTGTGATTGTATCACCTAAAGTAACAGCTCCAAAATGTGCAAATTGTATTCACTGTGTTTAGGAAAAGGAAAACTTTTTGAAGTGGGTGAGGGGAATAGGTATTTCATTTACTTTTCCCCCTATCAAAACAGAAACAGCAGGAGTGTTAGTAACACACAAGACAAATTACTCAGCCCTCGTTTCTTTTCCATAGTTTGTGCTGTTCCTTTACAACATGATGAACTATAAAACAAACTCCATACCAAATTAATAAACCCCTGCAACCTTTGAGATATGATTTGAAGGGAAAGGGGGAAACACTTTTAAAGCCCTGGTACAAGACTTGAGCCAATATTCTGAACTTGATTCTCTTCAGCATTGTCGTGTGTGCACCTTCTATACAGGTACGAGAATTTGGGTAAAAGAAGAAAAAGAAAAAAATAATTCTTCTTGGTGGTTCCACACAGCTGTCAGGTCAGATGCTGCTGGTTTTCATCCTTGTTTTCAACTGCTATTTGTCTTAAAAATACAGTTTTATAGACACTTTCCTAATAGTCTATGGCAGGCTACTGCTCTAGTAGTCACAGGCATGTTTTGTAAGTGTCAAAGGGAGGAGAGGTGGCTCATCTAATGATGAATGTGGAGGCTTGTTTTCAAAAGACAATATATATTAAGTTATGATTTACATTGGAATGAAAATGCTTGTGAACCCATGGAGTGCCTCTTGTAGCTTAGCTAGCAGAACTGTCTCTGAATCTTTCCTGTACTCGTATCACTAGGCCTGTGCGAGTCGGCAGTGATCCGATCCAGCTTCAGATCCAGCCACTTCGGATGGCCACGTTCCAATCTGGAGCTCTGGATCGGATTTCCGCCTCGATCCGGCTGAAGTGGCTCCAAAGCTTCGGAGCCGCCTTGGAGATCCAGCCATAGGGTATAATGGGGGATCAATGAAATATCTATAACTTTGTTGTTTTTTTTCTGATTTGGATGAAACATGCAGGGATTGTAGCCTCTGCTGAGAGCATGAAACCTGCCAAGTTTCAAGGAGATCGGTGCAGGGGTGTGGGGGGAACTGCACCTCAAGCTGCGGACAAGCAAAACACGTGCCATGGGTGACCCTGTGTGTGTTAAGGCGCAGCAGGGTGACAGCTGCAGCGATCGTGGCTTCTGCTGAGGCCATGACACCTGACACCTGCTAGGGCCCTGCAACCCTAGCTGCTGACAGACAAAACTGTGCCAAGACTGGGGCTGTTGATTGTCTGTACTGAGTCTTTCCTCTCCTTGGCCTGGTTTTGTAGGTGCTAATTGTTGCTCCTTAAGTCCTTATGTAGTAGCTAGGTCCTGTGTATTGAGCTGGTCCCTGAGTGAATCATGATTGATTCATTGGTAACTGGGAACACAGCAGCTTAGCAGCCAGGCCTGCAGCAGTGTCTCCCCTCCCGCCCCAAGACAGTCATAGTCAGTCCCACAAGCACCCATAGCACCAGTTCTGCTTGTCCGCAGCTTGAGGGGCAGTTTCCCCCAAACCCCTGCACTGATCTTCTTGAAACTTGGCAGGCTTTGTGGCCTCAGTAAGAGCTACCACCCCTGCAGTTGTGACCGCCCTGTGTTGTAACACATAAACATGACAGGAGTTTTGCTTTCAAGAATTTGGGGTACAGTTGCCCCAAAACCCCTGCACTGATCTTCTTGAAGCTTGGCAGGCTTTGTGGACTCAATAAGCGTTACCATCCATGCAGTTTTCACCCCGCTATGTTGTAATGCCTAGATGTGACATGAGTTTTGCTTTCAGGAATTTGGGGTGCTGTTCCCTCCAATCCCTTGGAAAGATCTTCCTGA